GTAACGTGAGTAATCAATTTTGTGTGTCTTGTTTATCATACCTAATACATTTTTCTGGATGTCATATTTGGTGCTTAGGTAGGTCTAGGTGTACTCTTATCTACCATGGGGATAAACAGTTATTAAACCTTTTCAGTAAGGTAATAGTCCCTGGGATAGGGCCATTTAATCGCAAAATTGTATGATTAATCTTAATATTATTTTCTGTTGTAGGGTACCTTGGGACATCCGAAAATGGTGCTCTTAAGTTGCACAGCCGGTATTTTTGCCTTCCAGCTTAAAAAAACTGATATTTTGGGAGCTTATTTTTGAGAAAGGGCTAAAATCATATTTTGGGCCTCTGCACTCACAAAAATGGCCCCGTCGTGACCTGTTTGCACTTTTTACCATCCTGATAGGATGGGTAAACAAGAAAAAATATGGTTGGTCCCAAGTTTATCCGTATTCGTGTTCCCAGGGCATATATTGCTTTGCGGACACCCCCCAAATCCTGTGACTTTGCCCTGTTTGGGGACAGAAATGAGTTTGAAACTCACACTTATTCCAAAGATACATACTTTCTTTATAATTTAAAAACTTCCCGAGACCACAAGCTTTAATTTAAGTAGTAGATAAGCTTTCTGTCTCGAAAATTGGGCTGGCCATGGCCATTTTTGCTTCCCCTACCCCTAAATCACTCAAAACGGCTGTATAGTGGGTGGCATATAGCAAACCTATTGTGCATTTTATGATAACAGTGCCAAATTTGGTACAGAGATAGACCAATATCATATCAACAAATGTGGATATTGGAGCATCACAGATCTGGCCCTTGACGGCCGTCGGAGTCATCATTTTAAAAGGGCTGAGTCATGCTGCCAATTTTTGATAGGAACCAACTTATCCAATGACATTATGGCGGCCATCTTGGATTTTAAAGATGGCTGCCATTGAAAACCTATTTCAACCCATATCTCATCTTCTAAGCCACTTAGGAGAAAAGTTTTGGTGTCTAAACATACATTTTCAGGGTCAAGGAATGCAACTGTACCATTTGGGATAGTATTAAATGGTTTGTTTGTCCAGATACAGTATTGTTGCCATCTCATTTCTGAAGATGGCCGCCGGCATTGAAAACTACATGTATTGCATCTTTAAGCCACTTAACATTGAAATCTTAGTGTCTAAACATATATTTTCAGGGTCAAAGAACGCAACTGAACCATTTGGGTTAGTGCTAAATGGTTAATTTGTCCAGATACATTGCGGTGGCCATCTTGGATTTTAAAGATGGCCGCCATTGAAAACCTATGTCTACCAATATCATTCTTCTAAGCCACTTAGGATTACAATTTTGGCGTCTAATCATACATTTTCAGGGTCAAGGAATGCAACTATACCACTTATGACAGTGTCAAATGGTCAGTTTGTACACTATTGTGCCCATCTTTGATTTTGAAGATGGCCGCCAGATAATAATTGCATTTACTGATATCTCAGCTACTACCCCATATCAAATCACAGTCTAGGTGTCAAAACATACATTTTCAGGGTCAGAAATTTCTTTTATTCAGAAGAGACAAAGATGATTTTAGTTATACACACAAAATAGTCAAACTGAAGATAACATCTCTAACAGAATACCGTTGATATATACTGCAGTCACCGAAAATACTGTATGAAGTATAAGTAAAACAACATTATGTGAGAATAAATGTCATCACTCACAAAAGTTTACAGTTTAAAAGTGCTCGCCCTAATTCTCAAGGTGTTGCATGCACGTCTTGCACCGCATACACTTTGATTCTTGAAGCCACATTAACTAGTCCACTGCAGGCTTTGGAGGCCACAGGTAACATGGTCCAGACAGGAACCCATTACTGTTTTTGTTCATGTTCGAGTGCCTGATCCTAAACAGGCTTGTCCCCATTGCTGAAACATCCCTTATCCCTCAGCAACCTGGATTGCGACATTGCAAGTCAACAACAAGCCAACTCTTAATCTGGCACAACACGCTGAGGATGGGTTTCAAAACGACAAATAAGTGGAGCTATTTTGGTGGATCTTTCGGTCACAATAAGACTGTAATTACCACTGCCGCCTCCTGAAAAAGATCTTGGAGTTGTCCCAATACCTCGCATTTACGGACCATATCGGAGCCCTTCTCAAAGACAGATGCTTGTTTGTTGTTCAGAACACACAAAAAAAACGCTGTCGACGGCAAAAAATCGGCCTGCCTCAAGGCACTGGGCTAGATCCGTTGCTGTACGTCTACACAAAAATATCACAATTTCATTGAGACCAGGACACTGAGCGTTTCATCTGCGCAGACAATCTTTGTGTTACATCTCAAAAGATTCCGTTTGAAGCCATAGAAGCAAAACTTACCTCAGCACTTAGCCGTCTCTATGAGCGCAATCACCTCTTGTACCAATCTCGCTAAGACCCAAGTCTGCTCGTTCCATCTCAGGAACGTTAACCGCGAAGCCAACCGACCCCTTAACATCAAATGGTCCGGAACACCATTGGCCCCTTGTAGCCTTCCTGTCTACCTTAGGGTGACCCTCCACCGTATCCTGTCATACAAGTCATCCAAACTTAGTTCACCGTAACAACATCATGAAGAAATTGAACAGCCTCCGAAAGGGGAGCCAAACCACACACCCTAAGATGAACCGTTTTGGCTCCGCGCCATTCTTCAGCAGAGTATGCGTGCCCCCTCTGGGAAAGATCAGCCCATACCATGAAACCTGATCCAGCTTTAAACAACATGCAGTTTGATCACTGGATGCTTGAAGCCCACCAACACAAGTAATTTGCACCTCCTTACTGGCATTTCCTCTTCGGATTTCTGAAGAGAAGTTGCCAGCTGAGCTCAGATGTCCAAATACTGATAAATGACGAGTGTCGCCTCCTCCAGGGACGGCAAGCTTCGGCACAAAAGGCTGAAGTCAAGAAAAGCTTCCTCAGCCATGTCCACTGCTTCACAACATCCCGGGAACAGGTGCGGTTCTACGGGGGGGCTAATAAGCAAACTCTAAATAGGCCCCCCCCCCCCCCCCACCTATTGACTTTCGGAGGCGTAAGTGTCTGGAAAAAATAACTGGTCAACATTTCAGCACGCCTCCCTGAAAAAATTCTGGATCCACCGTGCTAGCCCCCCCCCAAATATTGGTTCTAGAACCGCGCCTGCCCGGGAAGTGGCAAGACTCCAACACTGGAAGCAACGACTGGGAGCAAACGCCCACCGATTGTCATGGTTAGACTATAACAACGGCGGAAAACCTCCCCACAGGTACTACATCGACATGGGTTCAATGGAAAACTATCAGCCGCTTGAGAACCAGGACTAGCCGATCACAGACCCGCCTTAATCAAATGGAGCTGCAAAAGTGGTTCAGCTGCATGTAGTTGTGGAGAGGCAGAGTTGTATCACATCCTGTAGTGCCAGAGATTTCTACCTGCCTAGGTTCAAAGATGGCATAGACCCAGTAAACAGGACGGTATTGGGCCGATACCATCTAATTATGGGTTTGTTATGGCAGTACCATACAGTTTAAACGGTACAAGACCAGAAGCGGGCTAATGCTGGCTCGATTGCGCCAAAACGCGCCCTAATAAATGGCAAACGGTAATGGTAACACCGTTCAGAGCCTGCATCGGACCAGTGCTGGTCTTTTTAAGGCAAACAATAACAGCAAGACGGCGCTCAGCCTGAACCAGCCATTGCAGGTCCTCTTACGATAAACCAAGACGGTAAAAGTCCTGAATCGGGCCGATGTTGGTCCCTTTATGGGAAACCATAATGGCAAGACGGTACACAACCTGAATGTGACCGGTGCCGGCCCTTTCAAGTCAAACCATAATGGCAAAAGGGTACATAGCCTGAATCGGGCCAGTGTTGGTCCTTTGACAGCAAACCATATTGCCGCCGTTTTAAGTATCTGGACAAACTGACCATTTGACACGATCTGAAATATATGTAGTACTAATCCAAATTGTTTAGTTGCGCTCCATGACCCTGAAAATATATGGGTAGACACCAAGATTTAGATCCTTAGTGGCTTAAAGATGCAATACACGTATTCGGAGATTTAGGTTTTAAATGGTGGCCATGTTTCAAATACAAGATGGCCACAACACTGTATTTGGATAAACTAACCATTTAACACTATCCCAAATGGTACAGTTGCATTCCTTGACCCTGAAAATGTATGTTTAGACACCAAAACTTTAATCCTCAGTGGCTTAGAAGATGAGATATTGGTAGATATAGATTTTTAATGGCCGCCATCTTTAAAATCCAAGATGGCTGCCATAATGTCATTGGATAAGTTGGTTCCTATCAAAAATTGAAAGCTAAGGCATTAAGGAGCATGTATGGAAAATTTGGCGCTTTTGTCCGGAATGTCCACATCCATTCACTAAGCTGCCTGACTATAAGATTAATCATAACATTTTGAGATTAAATGGCCCTATCCCAGGGACTATAATTACCGCCCAAAGAAACTCAAAAGTACATCAAAAAGGTGCCGTTAGTAACCGTGGAATTGCCCTAAGGTCGTAGGAGTCATTTTAGAACGATAAAAACACCTTAATAAGGACTTATAAAACAAACTAAAAGGTACATGCACTGTATACAGTCGTCTGTTACACCATACACATTAATGAGACAAGGAACCGTTTTCATTTTCTCACAAGTGCTGTTGTTGGTGTTCGCTGTGGATTGAAGTACTACAGGAAGCACTATTGTTTGGTTAGTGTTTTACAGTATGGTTGCAGAACTTTTACAGTACAGGGCTGTTCCCATTGGACTTTTCAGCTCCCAGATATTTACCGTGGCTGCGCAGAACTCTTCCATGACCACTTTCAGCCAGGTAGTTTCACATCACGGTTACGGTAATTTGACAGGAACATTACTTTACCATCTGTCCCCATTGGACTTGATATTCTCATTCAACAGGAAAGTCGCGGTAGGTTAAACCAAAACAAGTCCAATGGGAACACTGCTTTAGTCTTACCTCTTTCTTGCCTTTCTTGTTGTCCTTTTTACCATCTTTCTTCACCTCTTCTTCCTTGTGTTCTTTCTTTTTCTTCTTAATTTCACCTGGAATGTTATATATCCAGATAGATTAATAATTTTAAAATTAAAGTACTCTTTTTGTGCGCTTTCAACTGCAACAATGTTTCAAATTGACTTTTTCACAAGTAAATGCATTACATGAATATAATCAATGTCACAAAGAGGAAAGCACATAACTACACTGGACTACATAAGTGGAGATGCTGATTAAATCAGAAAAGAGAAGACACTGTATGTCAAAAGGCGGTGGTATTTGTAGGCATATGCTGGAAGACACAACATTTTGCTGTAAAGACAGGAAAATGTTTTTGTGACAAACACCCATCTTCCTGAGCGATGCCCTTGACGATTATCAGGATGGGCTGTGTGAGCTGGGCACTGAGAATGGCTTTGATTTACCTTACATTGTTTTTTCAGTTTGTCCAGCTTGTTGCTCAAAGCCCGTTCAGAGGAGAAGGATCACTTGATTGGAATGGTATACACTATCTACCGTACAGTGGGACACAACATCAGATTTCATAGGAACCTAGACATTTTAACAGCTGTTTGTAACACCAGGATGAACTATATGTACCATATGTCATCTTTAGCAAACAAGAGGCAGTTCGAGACAGCACAGAATCACCTTTTTTCAGTACATGAAGCCACTTAGCGCCAGTCAGGAAAGGAGAACTGAGTAAGTTTTACACTATGTGAAAAAAGGGGTCACACACAGATCGCATTGTAAAAAAGATAAACGCAGGGATTTCATCTCACCTCTGGGTGAGCAACTACTTTAATAGGCACACAAGAGACACACAGTGACCAACTGGGTTTCCTCAACATATCAAAGACCAGGGCCCAATTTCATAGCGCTGCTTAACAGCCGACTTTGTGCTTACCGAGCCTCCATCTATTTCATAGGGACCGTTAAGCAGTAAGCACAGCGAAAGCACGCTTAACCCCAGAAGAAAAATTTGCTTAAATCAGTGACGTAACAATATAATCTCCATGCACGTGCAACCGTTAGCATGATTGTCTGCAGCATGATTGTCTGCTATAGTAAGCACAACTTTTCTGCTTACTATTAAGCAGTGCTATGAAATTGGGCCCATGCTTTGCCTCCCCTGCTTTGAGGACTAAGCAGCTTTGCCGCAATTTGACCGCTTCACAGGCTATTCGCCCTCCTTTTTGAGAAAGTCTTCCGCTTTTGTAAGCCATAAACCTTGACAACGACGTGTTTTTTTTAAAACAGCAAAGCACATTCAATCAAGGGCCAATTATCAGAGATGTATCCAAGTCATTTTTTTCTAAGTCAAGACCCAAGTCACATTTCAGCAAGTCAAGTCTTAGGTAATCTTTTTCCAAGTCAAGTCTCGAGTCAATGTTTCACAAGTCAGGTCAAGTCCAAAATCAATTTTTTTCAAGTCTAGTCAAGTCTCGAGTCTTTTTGTTTTAAATATTAGATGCACATAGTCACATACTACGTACAGGAACCAGTTTATGTGTTCGACGATGGAGCCTTAGTAGAGATGGGGATGGGGTTATCAAAATGTGCATCGTATATCAAGTAAGTATTGTATCTAAAGAGTCTTAAAAATGCATTTTGATATATTTTCAAACTTGTTCCATCATGTTGAATGTTTGAAGGATGTCTGACAAAATGTCCATCCGAACGTTTTCGTTCAATGCATGATGTGAATTCTTTTTGCTTTATGGTGGACTGGGGGTAGCAGCTGTTTTGCAGTCATTTAAACCCTAGTTGCATTTAGCACGCTTACGGCAAACCACTCAATGTGTACATAGGTGTAGCCTATGGTCTCTAAGGAATGACCACTCTATATCCATTAATGGATGGTACTCAGATTATGCACAGCACAAACTTCACCTTGCATGTATTAGGTCAAGTATGATACGTTGTCCATAACACGTGCATGGTGCTAGTCATGTCCCTGACATATGGTAAGCTCAGGATGCCAACTATCGCATGCTGGTTGCTAATTCGCTATGTACATGTATATCTGCATTCTTTTCAACCGTGTCAGCAAGTCAAATTTATTAAAGTCAAGTCAAGTCCTGAGTCATTTTCCAAAGTCAAGTTAAGTCTTACAACATGTAAGTAAAAAAATAGCCACTCAAGTCCGCCTCGAGTTGTTTGATCGTAGCAGCTCATTCTCATTGACATAACAGCAAAACTTGGAAGTTACAGAATAATCAAGGCTGTTGTGGTGACCACCCCCATGCCAACTTTGACCTATCAACATTTCGTCACACTTTCGCGAGTCGCTGGTATCTGTACATAGTATGAGCTCTACCATAGACTTTTTGTTGGTTACGAGCACGTGCGAAGGATGTTTCCTTTTTCTAACGTCATGAATGTCGAACTTACGTTTTTTTAGAAGTGCTGAGTTCACCTTAATTCATCATGTAGTTCTTCATCAATTTCAAGTAGTTATTTAGTACTTGTCGTCTTAGTCCGTCCGTCAGTAACTTGAGAACATTTGTACATACGCATTCGCAGAACTATCGTCCGTTCTGTCTCGCAGTCATTGAAGCAACGTTGGCCAATCACTGTGCAGGAGAACAGTGTAGGAAACCGTTGCGGGAAGGTGTACCACTCATCTGGCAACAAGCTCCAAGGCAGCCTCCATACTCACAAGGACAAGAAGGACTCCTCTTCCAAGGCGGGAGTCTACCGCATTCCATGTGAATGCGGCAAAGTCTACATCGGCGAAACCAGTTGGAACCTTCCCACTAGGCTCAAGGAACACAGAGCACATGGACGGCGAGGGGATTTTGAAAAATCAGCCATTGTCAAACATTCCCACATCAACGACCACAAAGTTGATTGGGATGCGGCCGAACTCATCGCACCGATCCAGTTCTGGCATCCAAGACGCATACGGGAAGCCATCGAGATCCGTAAGCACAACACAGTTCTGCAAGACATCGGGTTTCACCTCAACAACATCTGGCTCCCACTTCTCCAGACTGATGGGTCTCCTATACCCTAGGTCCTCAGCTACCACCTTAGACTGATGGGTCTCCTATACCCTAGGTCCTCCCTCTACTGACACTGCAACCCTACTGTTCCACTTCAGTGGGCACCAAGCTTGTTCTAGGATCCTGTCTACTTGGCATCCTCACAGGGTGCAACTTCACACTTCATTGACTTCGCCTTTGCTAAGGCACTCTCCTGAAGACGATCAGAGCATACTGACCAGAACGTCGAGTTTATACCTCTGGTTCTTTTCAGAACCATTCTGTTAGTGAGAAATTATTCGCACATGTTGTTTCCGCAAACCATTCATTGTTTAGTATCTCCACCATGCAAAGCCTCAAATCTTACTTATCTTCGCTCTACGGGGAGCTGGTAACCAACCAGGTTAGGTTGTATGAACGGACGTCAATTCGGCGTTCTAAACTCATCAACAACTTAACCTTCCTCAAGCGATGCCGCGACTCTAAGATAACTCCTGCCGGTCTGCGTATCCGTGATCCCATATGCAATAACCGGTCGGATGACATCCTCCGGAGAGCCAGTTCCGCCCTCATCCAAGAATGCATCTCCTTCACCAGACTACAACTCGCCATTCTCGACCAGCAGATCACCGACACGGAAGAGGATCTCCGCTCCACCTTGGAACCAGTCCACTTCGACAGGATTTGTTCTCTCACTACTTCTTCTAGCCAGTTTGTGTTCTCCACCACTCGTAAGAAACAACTTAGGAAATTCTACCGCCTGGAATGCAAGGAACGGAATACTCCGACTCCTTTCCACCGTAACCGTAGCCCGCCAACTGGATCTCTTATATCCTGGCGTCGTCCATCTCGCCTACATAGCCCGCCAACTGGATCTCCTATATCCTGGCGTCAGTCTTCTCGCCCGCGTAACCTGCCATCTGGATCTCCTATATCCTGGCGCCATCCACCTCATCTCTGTAGTCAAGACACCTTCACCAAGCATACTGTAGTCAACCTCAGCAGCCGACAGCTGAACAGTACAGAAACGAAAGTTCTGTCCCTTGGCATGAACTTTGCTGTTCCTCCAAGGTCCGTACTCATCGAGAGCATCATCCAGTCGACAGAGCCAGCCCTCAGACACCTCAACAAGACAGCAGCCAATGGCGTCCGCATCAAGATGAATGAAGTCCTCCGCAAGGCTCGCCCAGCTAAACTTCTACAGACGACTCAGACCCTCCAGTTCGATCTGTCCCAGGTTCTTTGGTAAACCGAAGATTCACAAACCTGAGATCCCTCTGCGCCCCATAGTTGCTTCTCGAGGTTCCCCCACCTTCAACACAGCCCAACACTTAGCCAAAATCCTCGGACCCTTGGTGGGTCACACACCACACCATGTGGCGAACTCTTCCCAGTTTGTCAGCATCAGAAACCTCACTGTCCAACCCACTGACTTGCTTGTCAGTTTTGACGTCGTCTCACTCTTCACCAATGTCCCCACAGGCGAGGCCTGCAAACTAGCTAAGGAAAGACTTGAACATGATACCACTCTTGCTGAACGCACAGACCTGTCCCCCGACCAAATTCATGATCTGTTACTAACATGTATCTCTTCAAGTTGTTTTCAGTGGCAAGGCAAGTTCTACGAGCAAACGACTGGGACCTACATGGGATCTTTTTTATCCCCGGTCCTAGCCGACATCTTTATGGAGGAGTTCGAGTCTTCCTCCCTCCTCACAGCGGATCTTCGGCCGAGCCTGTGGCTACCAACCCACACCGACCGCTATCTCCAACAGCGGTGTTTCATCATCCCAGCATCAAGTCATCGGTCAACCGCACCCTAGTACAGAGAGCCTTTGAGGTCTGCGACCAAGACAACCTCAAGCGTGAACTCAAGCACATCCAGGCGTCACTACAACGGAGCGGCTACAAACCCAACCGCATCACGATCAGCAAACCTGACCAACGGGTCTCCTATACCCAAGGTATAGGAGGTATAGACTGTTAAAATAGTACAGAGAGCCTTTGAGGTCTGCGACCAAGACAACCTCAAGCGTGAACTCAAGCACATCCAGGCATCACTACAACGGAACGGCTACAAACCCAACCGCATCATGATCAGCAAACCTGACCAACGGGTCTCCTATACCCAAGGTATAGGAGGTATAGACTGTTAAAATAGTACAGAGAGCCTTTGAGGTCTGTGACCAAGACAACCTCAAGCGTGAACTCAAGTAGCACCGGTAGCAGCTTGGGATTTGCCCTTGGTCTTGCCACCCTTGCCGCCCCGTTTTTCCTCTTTTTGTTCAGTTCCCACTGCATCAGTCGGATTAAGCAAATCTTTAACGTGCTCTGCCCGACCTGCTTGGTCTCTAGTCTGGCGGGATGGCAAGACGTCACTGTCTGCCGAGCCAAGCACAGAAGACGAAAATAGGAATTGGGATTGACGAAAATAGGAATACAGATAAAGACGAAGTACTCAATTATCAGTAAGGTACTGTAAGAAACGTCTTATCTGTCCTGCTATAAGGCCAAAAAAAAAAGTCTCCGGTTTCAGGTATGCGTGCGCGTCGCCGTAGCCATGCGCGTCGGCAAAGTGAAAACATTTTTTTTTTTTCAATGTAAGATGATGTCTCAAAACCGCCAAACTCACTGGTTTGACTGGAATCCTACTGCTGCACAATTTTAACGTGTTTTAAATGGGGTTACGATTGAGTATAAGCTTTATGTGGCCTCTCTGGACTCCCATATATTTTGCACTAAATTTAGTCTGGCACCATTTGCAGTCATCAGCCGACATTTGAAGGAAAAAAAAGTCCCCCCCCCAAAAAAAAGCCGCGTTGCTGCACCACTTTAGGGGCAAGCTCCATACCAGAAACCGGAGACTTTTCTTGGCCTTAGAGAAAAGAGGAAGCCGACATGGCGCTCGTGGCACAGGGTAGTGTGGGTAGCATTATAGAGGGCGCTGTTGTATAAACTCTTAGCGAATGGAACCTGGCGGTAAGGGGAATATGCAAATGTAGTGGCTCTACAGGTAAGTGAGTGAAGTAGACTTGAAAGGATACAGAAACGAGTTTGTAGGACCATTATGGGGAATCAGTACACTTCATATTTGGATGCGCTCAACCTATGTAACTTGGATGCACTAGATAGCATAAGAGAAAGGCTCAAAATTTGCTAATGCACTTGGCACTAATTTTAAGAACGACTCACTCAATTGCTCCCCCCCCCCCCACGAGGCTAGCAAGTCATGGTAGGAACCTTAGGAACAGTAACCAAATAACTCAACTCAAAAATGTTTTTTTTTGGGGGGGGGCTGCATGTTGTCCCTCCTTTCTTGTATAGTTCTGTTTCCGTGGTTATGTGGTATTTTTTTACGTACAAATTAAATGTATTGCCTGCCTATTTTACTCATTTTTTTTATTATGCAAGTTTTAATTGTTTTTAAGATTGTTTTTAATGCAATTGTCTTTTGGAATTTGGCCCTCTGGGCCACGATTTGAGACAAATAAAAGAAATAAAATGAAATGAAAAGTATGGTGTGGGGTGCCAAACCTACATGTACATGTTTTCTTGTTTTTACAAAATTCGAAAACTTCAAATAGAGCACTTCCCATTGTTCTTAAGCTTCCACCATTCTACCCACCAAACTTGCACCAAATTGCAAACGAAAAAAACCAAAAAACAAACAAATAGCAATTGATCCTGCATACTGTTACAAACTCTTGAAACATTGCAATAATCAAAAGAGAAAGTTGTTGGACTAATACATACCTCCCCTTAGATTGTCATTGGAGCCAAGAACTGCCAAGGTTGATATTAAATTGTGTCAGCAACATGCAGTTGTAGCCAGTGTGGTACACAGCAATTATCCGTTCAGGAGGAAATAATAGAACAAAAAAAACCATCAATATCTGATCAGTGAACTAAAGTGTTTTATTTCATTTTTATTCAATATAATAATAATAGCTCTGAGGCTGCGGGACACAGCTTGAGTCAAGTTGTTCCAACGCGGATAAGCGTTAGATCTCTTATTTTGTTGTGCATATTGTAAATAACAATTATAATAAGAATCCTACAGAAGACGCTCGAGCTCTGAGGATGCGAGATGCAGATTGAGCCGAGTTTTTCTAACACGGATACTATCCCTTATCTGGTTGTGCTTATTGCAAATAATAATAATAAGAAGAATAATAATAATAATAACTAGACTTATGTTTGTGGACAAACACAGGGCTGTTTCGGTAACTTTTTTGTGACATATATGTGACATGTAAAGTTTTAAGTATAAGTTCCATACAGAAAGGATGTGTAGTTCTGTTTATAATAAATGGTGGCATATAAATATGTGATTACATTCTCATGGCTTTTAATTATAATGTCACGTCACGTGATGACGTCATGATGACGTCAGATCAATTTTCATCTATAATCATCCTTAACCTACTGCTAGAGGGCGCTCTAACTTTTTATGACGTCACTGTTATGTTTTTGTAAAGAAAAACTTAGCCAGAGCATACATCGTTGAAGGCAAGTTCACATTTTTTACCAATTTTAAACTACAAGGCACTTCCGGTTTCAACCGGAAGGAAGGGTCACGTGATTTTGCATGTACATGTAATATCAATAATGAAAACCCTGGATTATTCTATCAATTCCCGCAAATGTCAAGTTCAGGTCTCTCAAGGTTGATTTTATATTGATTTTCAAAGATAACATCTATTGATCTTTAACGTGACGTTACGTGACCCATGATGACGTCATTGTGACGTCACTTCAATTTTCATCTATAACACATCCCAACTTTCAACTCAATTGGCCCTGTAGTTCTGTAGATATAGGCCTTCAAAATGTGCACCTATAATATGACGTCACATGCCATGTGATGACGTCATTGTGACATCACTTCCATTTTCATCTATAACATATCCCGGTCTAGATACATACCAGGTTTCAACCAAATCAGACCTGTAGTTTTGGAGATATAGGCCTTCAGAATATGCACCTATATTGTGACGTCACGTGACTGGTGATGACGTCATAATGACGTCAATGTTCGGCACACAGCGGCAGGTGCTGGGCTAAGTGTGTGCCAAGTATAAAGGCAATCAGATTTGATTTTAGTGGCCAAAGTGCCTTGGACGAAACAACATGTACAAATGCTATGGGCAAAATGACTGAAAAAGAAAAATTAAAAAAAAAAAAAAAAAAAATCTTAACGAAAACAAAGGCTGTTTCGGCAGGTTGCCAAAACAGCCAATAATAAGTATTACCCTGGATTGCTCATTTGGGAGACTTCCACATAGACTTGTGCACACATTTTTTCAAACTTAAATGTGCCCCAACCCAATTTTCCCTAGTCCTTTTTCCACGTATTTCGGTATGTTTACTATTTAGACCACGAGCAACAAATATAACTTAATTGTGACAAAAAATTTGTGCCTCTAAAGGAGGGCTGTGACATTATGGAGACATGAAAATGTCTCCCTCATGACCGATGTCTCCCATCGTGCGAAGAAATTACGATAACGTGTCTCCTTAGTGGTACCTTTACACGTATAATAATAAGTATAATAATTTAAAGAGGTTGTGGAATGCTCGAAGACATTTCCGTCATTTTTCGGGTATATGTAGCCTAGGGTGTGATGAAATAAAAACGACTATTGTTTCTGTCATGAAATGAATACAAAAGGTATTTTTGAGAGCTGTTTTTCAGGTCCTGTTTCGACCCGAACTTGCAATTTGTGTAAAAGTCGTCGTTGGGGGCAGCAAACAAAACATAGTCAATCGTGACGTAATAAACAGGACTCCCGATGCAGCGTAGTTCCAGCGAAACTTTTTGCAAATCACTCCGCGCAACGACATGACTTTGTTTACAATTACACTGAGCGACATTTTGTATGGGCAGCCACATGCTCCATAAATTCAACTGTAGTTGGCAACAGCTTTTACCCCCGAAATTCTAATGGGCAAGTTCAGAATTTAATAGGAAGATATCTCCATTGACTTTTTGGTACTTTCTATTGATTATTCAGTGTTTTGATAGTTACACATCATTTTATTTATAGATCGGGGATCATTCTTTTGTGTTTGCCCCAACGGCCAACCATAGTAAGAAATGTCTGCGTAATACATAAACATCGTTCGATCGTTCACATGCACATCGCATCACCGTGACACGCGCCTATGTAAAGCTGGCTGGAAATTCACGGGTGTACTTGTGCCGCTGGCCCGGCCGCTGGGACCGTAGATTTTGACACCGGTAAACGGTGTTGGAATTTCAAAATAATTCGTTGTTGATACGCGTACGGGTAGCGAACGCACTAGGCCAAGGCAAACCTATATGCCTATAATTGTGTCAGTCGCTGGCTGTAATCACACCACATTTTGTTTGCAATAAATTTCCAGCTTTCCCGTCCGGGTGTCAGCATGGAGGAATAAGAATCCTCCGTAGCCATGCAGTTTGTCCGAAGGGTACCGTGCGAAAACACGAGATCGGATTTCAGCCAAATTAACGGATAGAGCGCTGATCATGCACTGTATATTTTGTACGGCAAGAGTCTTCTTTTCTCAAGAGATTTGTTGAAATTGGACAAGAAATAATAGAGATATGATATGTTAATGATTTATAGGGAAGACTGTTTTGGACCATTTGTCCATTGCCAATCTTGAAGAATCGTAGACCCGTTCAAATGTATCCTCGACCCTCCATTATCTGCGCAGCATACGCGCACGCGTTGTCACACACAAATTGAAGGTAAATGCGTAGAAAAAAGACCGCGTAGTTTTCCTTACGTTAGTGCTGATTAATGTGACAGGCCTCCATTTTCCCTAGAACTTCTTTTGATCGAATGACAAATTCTCTGCCACTGGAATTTCTTGAATAAAGTCTTAATTAGGTACTGAAAATAATGATAGTGCTTGTTAAATTTTGGGACCAGTGAATTTTGTTTTCAACCGGGATCCCAAACATGTCATAAGTCCAGAGATTTTTGTTTTATGAACGGAGCATGACTATGATTTATGAATTGTACTTTTTTTAGTCCCATTGTCTCCTGGCGTTGTTTTAAGGCTTTTTCTTTGGTAGACAATAAAGTTAACAATTTCAAAATTCAAGTAAATTCGTAATTATCGTTTCAGGATGTTAAAACAAGGGTTAAAATGCACAAGGAAAGAAAAGAGAAGAGGACTAATTTTTTGTGGCGAACGTATACATAAAAAGCACCAGGCAACGCAAGGAACTTGACCGGGGCCCGCGACGCTGCTAACCGTACAACATTAGTTCTGGACACGGTCGACCACATCCACTGCCGTGATCGCGTGATGCGTTATGCGTGCCGTACGCGTATAATTCGAAAACAACCTGACGATTTGTCGTCTCTTTGGACTGAATATTCACCAGAATAACGTTTGAGATTGTCTGTAAATCATGAAGAAAGTTGCGGTAGGACTGTTGATGCTCATCTAAAAATGTTATCATGAACATAATACTTTGAGTCCTTGGATAAAACGCAGCTGTTTTTTTCACGCAAACGTCGCAGACCTACCACTCAGATCATCAGAGCCGCATTGCCTGGCGTTTTCAGCTGGCCAGTTGCAGTATCTGTGTTTTCGCTGGTCTCTTTTTCGGGCAGTTGGGGCTCAAATTTATATGGAAGAACAGCTCAGAGGTCACCGTGTCCTTGTTCAATATACTCATCCAAATATTAAGCGATGGGAAGGAATATTAATCTCCGCGAGTCTTTTACAAAATGTTGATTTTTCACTGCTTGACTGCGAGTCACACGTGCTGACAGGGCGGGTTTGGGCAGCAGTAAACAGTCGTTGTATAAACGAGTCCTGTTTATTACGTCACGCTTTTTCTGATTTTACGAAGAGCCCAACGACTGTTGATTTCAATTATGCGCTCGCCGACCAACAAATTACTCGATGAATTTCAGTTTTAAAAACATATAAACGCACATTAGAAAAGAATGGGAGTTTGTCATTATGCTATATATGGGTCTACTCTACAATATAAAAATATAAAAAACAAAACGATTTTCAGCATTCCACAACCTCTTTAAGTGTTGGAGGTCTCGAGGCCGGCCTTGGCCTCGGAGCCTTCCGGCCTCTACATACACAGTGCAGTCCGAAGACCAATGGCTATTGAATGTTCTAATCGGCATTAATTAATAATTGAGGCACCTTGTGATTGGCTGTTCTGAATGATCCTTGGATACAGCCATAGTGCAGGCACGGCATGTGTGTACGTTAATGAGCCAGGGATTCTGTTGTACACAACCGGAGTTGCAATGAAAATATCTCTTTTATCCGACTTGATTCTTTTCTCAATTTGCATGGATCCCCTGCTACATTATAAATCTTTGTAATTTGAACAGAAATTGAAAATATATCGGCCAAAAAAAAGCAAAAACCGCTGTCTAAGTCAGGGGCTTTGTTTGAATTCTCCTAGCAAATCTCCCCATGTCACGCCAAAGACCAGAAACGCTCGAAATTTCAAGCTACACTCATCCCTGAACGAGTGAACATCACAAGACCTAAGATCTCAGCCATCGGGTAACGAAAAATTAGGAGACTCAGTACATGCATAGACCAACTTATCATAAACATACCAAAGAAATTTCATGACTATAGGTCATAGGGTTTTGGAATTATAGCTAATTAATTATTCATATGCAGGAATGGTAATTCTGCTTTGTGTACACTATGTATATCCACGGGGAAATTAAGTTTTTACTACGCGTCGGAAAATATTTCGCTGCGCGGCAACCCGTGGTCCAAATTTTATGTTTTTGGTACTGTAGGGAGACCAAGTGCGCCCTCAGTTGTTGTACGTCCAAAAGTTTGCCAAGTGATTTGCATACTTTCATGAAACACTTGGATTTGTATAGTGTGACCTTTGTGCTCCCCGCGCAAAGGCAACTTTTAACGATTTTTCTCCGGTGGGCTATGAGAAGAGAAGATCGACATAAAATTGTGTCCAACTATTCTTTTGTTTTAGAGGGAGCATGGCTCCTGCCATGCTCCTGAGGTATATATCACTGTGGGAGGGTGATCTTACAGAAACTTACTACTAGTTGACACTACTGGAGTTGTACTTGACTCGTCTACGTTCTGACTAATTGTTTTATCTAATGTTTGCGATTCGTCTCAGCCATCCAGCCTGATCCTGGGCAGCATGAACAGCCTGATCGTGTTTGAGGCCGATGGCATTAAGGTCGTCTATGATCTGTGAGAGGTAGTGCACGACATAGGCTTCCTTCCTGTCGGAAGGGCTCTGATGGTTGGTTTTTGGGGTTCAGGAAGACAGCAAGAGGCACCTCAGGTCTCCGCAGTGCATGACCAATTAGGCGAGGCCACTTCCAAGGAGGGTGGTTGTGGCAGGTGCTACGTACCCAGTGAGTATAGAAACTTCCCAGTGAGTATTAATCGTTTTGTGAGAGAAGTTGTATTTTGGGACAGACATGATTCACTGCATTGTAGTTTTGTACTAGAGTGTGCAGCATCTGTACACAGCCACTATCCAGCCATGTGTTGAACTTTGTCTTTGACATACATTGTATTTACTGTCATTTTCTATTGTGCACACGGGCTTGGTAATACTTGAAGTCTTGTAGGAATACATTTATTGAAGCTCAGGAAATCATAGTCGTTATAGTGATTGCATAGTTTGTTTGAACACTCGTCCACTTTAATTAGAGGACCGTTCCTCCTTCCTTCCCCCTTAATCGACGTAGGTACTGGTGCACTGGTCAGTATCAAATGATGCGCAACACTCGAGGCTAAAAAGTCAGAACAGCTTTGGTCGCGAATGTTTTTATTTAAGGCTGTCACGGAAAAAGTTTGGGGGGGGGGCGGAATTCCCCAGCGAGTTCAGCTGGAAGAGGTTTATGTCAGTTTCTGTGGTCAAGAAGATCTTCCGCCCCGGCCCAAACCGTGCTGTAAGTTTGTCCAGTTTGACCAGTTCGCTACAGGTAGTCTGAGCCTTTTACGGTCGCGTTGCCAAGTACTAGGTTTACATCGCAGCCTGAGCAATGCGCAGTAAACATTCACTGTGGCCATGCTCTACCACAGGGTACGCTGTACATTTGCCGTATAGCCTAAAGACTATGTTGGATGGTTTCCCTTCCTGATTTTCCCTTTTGTAAGTACTGTACATCGCCTTCATATTTTTTGTAGCTTTAGTGGTGCAAATTGACATAATTTTATTATATTTACTCTCCAGTCAGAGGTTGTTGCATTGATATCTGCATATTTTTCATTGTACGTGTGCGAGCAAGCACGATGTGAAACTCGCGCCATGTGGTCAGAAAACGTGTGGAGATTAGGCTTGGAATTTGAATTTTTTTTTCATGAATGGCTGACTTATGGTAGCAGAATTTGGAAATTCACTGGTGCTTTTTTGCCCACTGTCGAGCCCCAGGGTGTTTATTTACAACAAAAGCAGGCCACTGAAAAGGTGTTACGTAACTCCAGGTAACCTGCACTGGCTAAAACAGGAAGCGTTTCAGCTAAAAACGATTAATATATCTTTTATGAGATAAAGTCATTCTGGTTTAGAAGCGCTATACCCTCCCTGAGGGGTTTTAACTTACTGTTTTAGCGGCAAGTTGAACTCAATTTGGTGTAAAAACGGTTCATACATTGTTTTAGCAATGAAGTTACACCAACTTTAGTTCAACCGGAGTTTTAACGGAATTTAAAACGTTGTCTGAACGATGCTTAGTGTATGTACAACCACAGATTACAGTTCTGTAGATATGATTAACACTGTGTTACAGCTTTAATGGCTACTTACTCTGGTCCGTATCTGGCATTTCTACATCCTTTGTTGGCAATCCAAGATGATCTCGTATAACACTTGACAGTGTGACAATGTTATCTGCTGCCTCAATAAGCAACTGGTACCTGTAAAATATCAAGATTTTTAAATCAATGTTAGGACTTATGAAATTCAGGGGTGTGAGTGGAGCTCTAAAAAAATAGCTGAAAATAGCTGAAAATAGCTAAAAAATAGCTGAAAATAGCTGAACCTGCGAGCACGAAGCGCAAAGCTCATACGGAGTGGGGTCAGGGGCCCACTGGAAAATTTTGAAATGAAGATGCTCTGTGCTGCATTTTACAGCCTCCTGGGTCAACTACTGGTTCGAAATTTTTTTGAAATGTATGCATGTTTTTAAGTTAACTTTTTCCTTCATATTGGCTTGAAACTGCCTAAATGGAACTTGTATATGAAAACTGTGTTAAAACTGAGGTTTGTTAAACTGTCGTGTGAGTCAGCCAAAGCCCTGCCCCGCAAAATATGAACTTCTTTTAAATCTAGCTCTTACTTAAACTTCATGTTGTTTGGCCATCTTCAATTCCTTGCTGCAAAGAATGCACATCGCATGTCCAGGCTTTTGGATTTTTCGGATCATGTCGCCTAATTTCTGCCTATGACCGGTGTGTTCCATCCACGTCCATTTCCACGGATTTGTCTTGTCAATGTCCCTATCAAATTCCGAATCTCTTTGGACAATTATGCATTGGTGTTGCACCGACATCTTGCGGAATGTCAAAATTTGTTTGAAAATAGGTACGAAACGACACACTAACGTTAGCAGCAGTGCAGAATGTATCAGTGGATGCAATGCAAACATGAACTTTGCCCCGCATCATGAAGCCCTCTATTGGCTAGCAACAATTTACTAGTCTTATTTCAAAGCTTTATAGTTGCAATGAGAAGTGTGCAAAGTGATCTTTTCGAGGTTTACAGCAAGTTATTGCGGAGATCATTGTGTGTCACTACTTACACAGACACAGGAACGGCTGCAAAGAGTCCCAACGCGCTTCATGGCGCATGTGTGCATATTGATATTTATCTGCAGCCAATCACAGCGCAATGACTGTTGGTTCCCCGGATGCTGTTTGCATTGTGTACAATACATAGTACACATGTGGCTTTGAGCTGAAAAATGCATACACATCGTATAATGGCACATGTTAGTACGCGTACATATGGGTGAATTGTAGAGCGGATCGACTGTGTTTTTCGCGAAAAAGCTGGTAAACACCAGGACAATCGATAGAAACAAGCGAAAAAAACAAAATCTGGCACACTCAACAAACAAGCGGAAATTTGCTAAACAACAGAGATTTCACATATCTGAAAATTTCACTGTTTGAGTCTTGTTAAAAGATGAAATAAAACAAAGATAAAACAAAATAAGTCATCTCAAAATAAGTGAGACATTTCTTAGATGTACACGTATGGTGATTATGTTACATGTATGTACCAACTACAATGTCATCCCATCTACAGTTGGTGTTGAAAACGACACTTTCGGGTTTGAGACAAATGTGAAGAAACGTGAGCCAACTCATCGGAGAATTCTATCCATGGTGAGCTCTATCTACGATCCATTGGGATTGATAAGCCCTGTCGTCTTACATGCAAAGATATTACTCCAAGACCTATGCAGACAGAAAGTGAGTTGGGATTCACAAATTGACGAAGATCATTTAAGAGGATGGAACCAGTGGCTTGCTGACCTCCCAAAATTGGAAGGCATCATAGTGGAAAGATGTTTCAAGCCAAGAGGTTTTGAAGACCCTGAAAAGGTGCAACTCCATCACTTTGCAGATGCGAGTGAAAAGGGATATGGAACCGTCAGCTATCTCAGACTACAAAACAGTCGTGGGAATGTGCACTGCAGTTTCGAAACCTCTAAAGCAAGAGTTGCCCCACTGAAGGTATACAATCAATACCAAGACTCGAACTAACAGCAGCAATTAACCGTTGCCATGAGAGTAAACAACCAGCTCCTGTGAGAACTAGACATACCCGTAGACGAGATTTTCTTCTGGACGGATAGCACGACTGTCATCAAATACATCCAGAATGAAACCACAAGATACAAGACGTTCATAGCGAACCGACTGACGGTTATACGAGAGAACTCAAAGCCGTAACAGTGGAACTACGTCAGAATCTGTGAGCACTCATCATACACTCATACGCAAGGAAACAGTTTTTCTACCGTTTTTCTACTGTTGTTACCGTTTTAGCCGTTTTTAGCCTTTTTACTGTTTGGATCAATAAATTACTGGATATCAACAGCTTGGAGTCTGTCTTCAAAGGTATTGCAGAACGTGGCAGAATCTGTGAGAACTCGTCGTACACTCATCGGTAAGGAAGATCTTACAGTTGGGACTACTCCAACAGTCGTAACTGTCCAAACTATAGTTGGTGAAATTGCTATTAAATACCAATTGGATCATTAATGCAGCAATGAAAACAATAGACGTATGGTGTTGAGTTTTTTGTGACAAAACAGGGTGATGGGGCACGATTACTAGAATTTTGTTATCCATTGTTCCTGTTCAGTGATGAGTGTCCATGAAACAATGGAAAAAATGATGAACCTCTGATAAACTGACCAGATTAAGCATCTTATCTAGGGCTGTTCATTTTCAAAAAAATTTGTTTCCGATCAAGTTCTACACACGCTAGCTGCAACTGCATGCCGCGCCGGTCTACAGTTGCACGCAAAGTACGCCGGCTAATGTCTGCATGCAGTGATCGATATCATGGGACACTGCAGTGTTTTGCAATAATTTAATACTTTATAATTGTCAAGGGCTTTAACCCGCTAAAAGAATGGGAACAATGAACCGCTGATGACAAAAAAATTGCCATTGACAAAAAAGTGGCATTTGGTAGTGCGATATTTTAGTTTATATAACACCTAACTGGATCCTTGTCATTTGATTGGTGGAATTTAGTCCCATGACATTAAATCATTTGTCCCATTTCACTGACAAAATACTACCGTGCAAATTGGTTCCATTACCGTGCATATCTCGGTTCCATTCGTTTCGCCCCATTGCACGCGCGCCTCGTTATGGATCGCGGTGCTGTAGTTTGCTGCTACACGTTGAGCGTACACGAAAATATATGCGCTATGCATTATGCATGTACACGTATCGAGTGCAACCTTTGACACGGCCGTGCATGAACAGCAACAAAAAACATGGCGGGTTTTTTGATGGTGACGGACGACGATTTAAGTGAGCTTGTGGACAGTTCTGACGCTGTTAACACCAAGAAACAAATTCAGTACGCCGTCAGCCGATTGGAGGCATATGCAGTCTTTTCTGGGACAACTCTAGCTGCCGTCGAAGCGCTGACAGTTGAAGAACTTGACAAATTTTTGTCCCGATTTTTTGTTGGATTGAGGAAAGCAGACGGTAGTCTATACACGAAGAAGTCGATGCACTGGATCAAATACGGAGTAAATCGTCATTTCAAAGCCGTGAAAGATGTTGACGTATCCAAGTCTGACCAGTGTCATCGGAGCAACCAGACATACAAAGCAATGATGGTAAAGTAGAAGAAGGAGGGGAAAGGGTCTGTCAAGCACAAGAATCCAATCAGTTGGGAAGATATGGCCAAGATTTTTGCTTCAGATGCCCTTGACATTGCAACACCATCAGGTCTGCAGAATAAAGTTTTCATGGATGTGATGATATATTTTGCTAATCCAGGGCGCGAAAACCTCTGTGACATGAAAGTTGATGACTTTGTGATTGAAACAGATGCACAGAATCTTTGCTACGTCGTGCACCGGGACATGCTCACCAAATCAAGAAGAGAAAATGATGACAAAGGTTATAGTGGGTATATGTACGAGATCCCAGGGTCTTCCAGTTGTCCGGTCTCTTCATTTCTGCCATACAAGGCTATGTTGAACCCTGCACAGGACTGCTTCTGGCAACAACCTAAAGACAAAGCTCCAGCTGAGGGACCATGGTACTGCACTGCCCCGTTGGGTATCAACACTCTAGGTAACAAGATGAAAACTATTGCTGAGGTAGCTGGTTGTGTCAGGAAATACACTAACCACAGCCTGAGAGCCACAACAGTGATCGTCCTAGACCATGCTGGTTTCGCAAGCCGTGACATCATGTCTGTTACTGGTCACAAATCAGAATCCTCGCTAAAACACTATGCAACAACTAGTGCTGATAAGAAAAAGGAAATCAGTGCCAAAATCGCTTGCAAAATGATGCAGACAAAAGTCCAAGTAGGCCTACCAGTAGCTGTAGTCCAGCACTGCCTACTGAGCCTGTAGCCCTAGGCCAAACTGAAGATCAGGACGACCCAACACTGGACTTGCTCTTGACACTCTTTCAAGAACAAGTGATTCTACAAGAATCAAACTTCAGCATCCAGAACGCAACATCATGTTCTTCAGTGCAGCACTTCCATTTTCATGGACCTGTCACATTCCACAACAAATGATGTGGACATTCATTCAATTTGTATATGTGTTGTTTAGTGCTTGGACAGTTCAACCGTTCAATCTGTTATATAGACTGCTTTTTCCAACAATTTCGGAGTTGAAATTTAGAAGTGTTTACAACAGTTTGGATTGGAACTTTAAGGCCTACCACCTTATGGATACATAATATGTTGTGGATGCCTGGATGGAAACGAAGTCAAATTGAAATAAAGTCAAATTGAAGGTAACCCTAAGTACATTGTATATTGTTTATAAAAATATCAAATGACAAGGATCTAATTAGATGTTATAAAAAACAAATAATGAATGTTTTTTAATTCGTGCAATGGAAGGAATATTTTCATTCGGCGAAAAATTGACTGTTCCATTCAACTCGGCTACGCCTCGTTGAATGGAACAGTCAATTTTTCACCTCACGAAAATATTCCTTCCATTGCACTCACAAACATTCATTATTTGTATAATCACCGTAAAGTCACTTTTTATTTCAAAACTGAACAATACCGCAAACTCGGTATGGAATTTATTTTTGGGTGAGTAATAAGCAAGGTTTGGTTATTGATTTGAAAATTTTATTTGTTTCGAGAAGGATCATCGGAAAGAGAGGTGGAGATAATAATAAGG